GACTGTATTCATGGTGATAAATGCCTGCGATTCCAATACAGGGAGGTGGGGGTAGGAGAAGGAGGATCACTTCGAAGTTGGAGGCCACCCTGGCCTATATAACAAGTGTCAGACCAGCCAGTGCTTCATAGACCCATCTAAAACCAGGAAATTAGATCCCCCGACTCACACTGTTCCAGTGTATACTTTGCCTTAACCATATTTGTCAGGGGTGGGAGGTGTTGATAATGGCACTTTGTTTGCTATGAGCAATTTTAGGAAGTCATTCCAAATCTTTAGTCTAGTTATTCAATATAAATGGAAAATGTCTATCTGAACAGGTAATGAGAACCAAAATCACGGAAGTGATAATGGTGCCAGTGACGGTATGATCTGTAGTTGCACATCTAGGTAAACTAACTCTGCTTAAATGCTAGAACAAACACAGCAATGTGAAATTCAGGCTCTAGATCCCTATGTATAGGGAGGCTTCCTTTTTTTTAAGTCCTCCTCCTCAAGTGCATTCCTGCCAGATTCATTCAATACGAGGGTGTAAGCAACTGCTATGAAACAAGAGAGGACAAGTATGAGGGCAGAAGAGCTCTGACAAACTCCAACTGTCTGCTGCTGAGCAAAGTGAACAATGGAAATACACAGCTGCCAGGCTAGTAAGCCCCACTACAGAGTCCAAGATTCTTACTACCCTCTACATAGAAGGAAAACAGGTGCTTTCTTCTGAAGACAACCTAAAGAAAGGACGCAGCATTTATTTATTTTTTAATTTTGGTTTTCAAGACAAGATTTCTTTGTGTAGCCCTGGTTGTTCTAGAACTTGTTCTGTAAACCAGGCTGGCCTGGGACTCAAAGCGATCCTCCTGCCTCCTCCTCAGTAATGATGCTTTTAATCCTCAATTCTCATTATTACTTAGCTTTTAGCTTCCAGGTTATTTATCAGGCTAAATTCCTCCTTAAAGCTCTTTAGTGTTTCTGAATTACTACAAGCACCAACTAAATGCCTTTAAAGACTCAGTGCTAGGTGGGGCATGGAGAACACCCCAGATTCCAGCACCCAGGAGGCAGAGGCAGGTGGAGCTTTGTGAGTTCTAGACCAATGAGGTCTATCTACCCAAAGAAACTCTTACAGGGCACACCTTTGCCTTTGACCGCAGCACTGGGGAGGCAGAGGCAGGCAGACCTACAGAGTTCCAGGACAGCCAAGACTACACACAGAAACCCTGTCTTGAAAAACCAAAAAAGAAGAAAAGAAACTGTGCCCCCCGCCCCCCAAAAGGCATGGTGGCAAGAGTCTGTCTACTCAGTATGGGGAGGTAGAGACAGGGAGGACAGGAGTTCAAACTCACCCCTGCTGGTTACACAGCAGTAACAAGTGGGATGCCACTCAATAAAGTCAGAATGGCTCAAATTCAGGCAATACATCAAAAGCCCCGCGCTCGAGGCTCAGACTGCAAGGTCATCAATAGTTATTAGATTCCAAGACCAGCATGGGCTACATGTTTCTCCCACCTTTAGTTCCCCCCCCCCAAAAAAAAAAGGGAGGATGAAGAGAAGGAAAATTTTTAAAAATCATGTTGTTAAACTCATTTTCCCCTTAGGTGACATCACCTAAGGTGTTTTTTTGGTGTTCTGAGACAGGGTCTGGATAAGCCCTGGGTAGCCTAGCATTCATGAGATAGACCAGGCTGGCCCTGAGATTGTAGCAATATTGCTTCTGTTTCTCAAGTGCTGAGACTACAGTATGGAATGCCAAACCTGCTTAATTCTATTATAGAGCAGCTGACGGTATCTCTTTTTTATCCTTGAATCTAGATAATATGTTTTACCTAAGCTAAAGCATTAAATAATGCACCAATACATCACACTTCTTTCATGACTGACAGAATAAAAATCCAATAAGCATTAAGAAACATGGGGTTGAGTGTATTTAATAAATTAAAAAGTTAAAAAAATGTAACTTGAGTTCTGGGCATTTAGTTTCCCCAGAACATGACTGAGGCTCTGGATTCCAAACCCAGCACCCACAACAACAAAGGAGGATGGTCTCATTACAGAACTCTGCCACATTTAGTCTTCTGAATACATTTAACAATGATCATTAAACATCTGAGTTCATCTGGACCACAACACACATGGTATAGAAAGTGCTGAAAAATAACTGATATAAACAGACATCTATGCCTCTGCCTTTCTGAAATGGGGTGTTCATATGTTGCTCTGCCTGGGGTGGAGTTTCTAGGCTCAGGCAATTTTCCTGTCGCAGCACTGCCTGCCCCTGCTTTTGGGCCCTTCATAAAAATCTTCCACGTGTTCAGTCATTCTGTGTAAGGCTATATATAACACTAAGTCATCAGGGAATTTAAATGGAAAAGATTGTATTATGGGTCAGACTAGGTAATGGATGTGAGACATCATTTAGAAATGATTATTGAGGCTGGGCGTGGCAGCTCACATCTGTAATCCCAGAACTCTGGGTGGCAGAGGCAGGCGGATCTCTGTGAGTTTGAGGCAAGCCTGGTCTACAAAGTGAGTACAGGACAGCCAAGGCTACACAAAGAAACCCTGTCTCGAAAAACAAAACAAAAAATGATTATTGGTATAAGCCATAATGGGGTACAAGTCTGTAATTCCAGCACTTGTGAGGCTGGGATAGGAGGATTGGTGAGTTCAAGACAGGCCTGGGCCACACCATGCATCCTAGGCCATTCTATATAGACTGAGACACTGTCACAAATCAGCAAAGGGAAGAATACCGAGATTAATAAACTCAAGGAAAAAGAGATAGCAAAGTAGGTCTGGGGGAAAGGGCAGAGACACAGTTTAAAGAAAATGTAGGTTATTTCTTTAAATTCTATGATTAAGAAGTGAACATGGCATGGAGATAAAGCTTGAGAGAGGTCTAATGGTGGCAGCAATATCCTTGAGTGGATGCGCAGCGAAAGGAGAAAATGAAAACTAAAGGTGACTGAAAGAGACGAGGAAAAAATGATTTAAAGGGATTACAGGTTTTGCTAACTCCTGAGAGGGTGGGGGGAAGGCAAAGAAACGACTTGCCCAAATCCACTTTTTGAGGGCTCATTTCTGGGACCTCTTTAAAATTGCTGAATATCAACGCTGAAGCACTTTCCTTCCTCCTACTGCAATATGATAGCTATCTTTACTGTCACATGAGTCCTTCCTTTTGCCTTGGCCAAAATGAAGTGCTTTACTCCAGTCGAGTCACTGTATTAGATATTTGAATTTTTAGTGCAGAAGCTCTGTATACTGCAGGATTCTCAAACACTCACCGACCAACTACCCACTTCAAACCATACATGAAACAAGACAATAGTACAACATGGCCAGCCGCTCTAAGAAATAGTCAGGGTGAAATCGTATTCCATGACTGCTGGGATGGCTTCTGGTCCCTAAAGACTGGGAGAAATCAAGTCTCCCTACAGGCTCCAGCTTTAGGGAACTAAAGTGCGGGGCCGCACACCCTCACGCCCCTTCCCCTCTAATCCGTCTCCCGCCCCACTCTAGGCTGGATTCGTGAGCAGAATCCAATTTTCCATGGCCCACTGGATCAGCTAGGAGGTTCCATACAGCGGAGGTAGAAGGGGCTTCAGGGGCACCGAGGGCCTTCGGCGGCCTGGGGTATCCCCACCTCACCCTGGTGCCCACCCCTCTAGCTCCCCCGGCTCCAGGAAACCCGAAAACCGACACTGTGGGGCCACTGCCCTTCCCGGATGTCTCTCGTCCCCGGAAGCAACCGGGCCCAGCCAGCACCCCAGTTCCTTTTTCTCCCAAGGCCGATAATGGGGTGCGATGACCCCGACCGGCGTCCACGACCCCCGCACCCTCCCCACCCCACCCCCACGCCCCGGCCTGGCTCCCTGCCAAGTCCGCAGCAGCGGCGCAGGTTACCCGGAGTTGGTAGGCGACGCTCGCTGCCGGGCGGGGCGGGCTGCTGGAGACCCGCCGGCGGCGTCTGCATCTGAAGCGGCGGCGGCTCGGCGTCCGGGGGCCTGAGGCCCGGAGTGGGGCCGGGCAGAGGGGCGCAGCGTCGCCGCTTCGGGGAGCCGGGGCTCAGCAGCGCCGCCTCGAACTCCATGGGCCGCTTCAGCGTCGCCCCGCACGCCATGCCGCGGAGGGGCCGGAGACCAGACGCAGACGCGGCCGCAACCACGGCCCTGGACCCAACTCCTCAGCTACGGCTCCCAAGCCAAGCCGGCTCCAATGGCGCCTCCGGCACCCGGCAGCCACGCTGGCCCCGCCTCCTGTGACGTCACTGGAGCGCGCCACCGCCCGGCGGAGGGGGGAAAAGGCCGGAACAGGGAGGCTTCAGGAGGTCCGCCGGCCCGGGCTCTTCCCGCGGCGCCCCCTGCGGAGGAAGTGAGCCGGTCTGGGCGGAGAGCGTGGTCGCTTAGCAACACCGGGAAGGCCCCCGCCCCCGCCCCTCCCAGGGCCCCCTTCACCGGCTGTGCGCGTGTGGCCTAGGAGGTCTTTCGCACCTGCGCGGCCGGGACCTGGGAGGGGAAGCGGGGCGGGGTGGGGGGGAGACCTAGGGAGACACGGGGTCCCCGGTGGCCGCGTGACGGATAAAAGAGGTGATTCTAAAGGGGTATCAAGGGCTTTTCTCTGAGTCCTGGGAAATCTTCATAAACATAGCCGGGTTATCTGAGGATAGGCTTTACTTAATCCACGCACCCTGTGCAACCATGGGGCAAAATTGGAAAGATGCGTGTTACAAGTGAATGTATTTTGGGGATAGATGACCCGGCCATTAATCAGCTCACCAAATGGATGTGTTACGCCAAAAGGATTTTAAAAGAAAGAAAAATAAAAAACAAAACCTCAAAAAACTTACCAGAAAACTCACAGGCTTAAAGCCCCTGAGCAAGGGGCACCAGAGTAGTAGGAACTTTTGATAGCCGATTTGGCAATTGGCTTCCTTATCCGACCTTATCCGGCAACTCAGGCAGGTTCTTCCTCTGGTCCATCTAGATTCTCTGCCGCACTGTTGGCTGGAAAATGCTTCTGATATTCTGCAAAATGAATAGAACACAGGAAGGTTCTGCTTTTAGAAATTGTGTGTGGTTGTTACTTTCCTGGGGACTAACTCTAGTGCTTTCAAACACTGATCAGATCAGAACCATCACCATCCCCCTCAAAACCTTTCTGTGATTATTCATATATTAATGGTTGTGACTTCTGTAATCTGGCCCTAACGTATCTTTGTAATAGATTTTCCCAGATCAGTCCAAATTTGAGATATTCATTTCTAGTAGCCAAGATGGCTGTCAAAGTAATTCAATACTTGGGTTAGAGAATAGAAGCATGCTATCTCCAGCCCTCTGCTGCTGCTTTTTTAAAGTCATTTTTTGGTTGCTTTTCTGAGTCCTCTTCTGTTTCTACGACTCTTTAAAGATCGTAACATAGGTCATGTACTTTTACATTTATTTTTGTAAAATATAAGAAACAATTCTAAGATTGCCCAACATAATAAATTGCTGGGTTTGTTTTTGTCATATTGGGGTTCAAGCCTTATGCTCCCTAGGCATACTACTCATGGGCTATGTCTCCAGCCTCTATTAAGTTTATTTTAGTACTTTTATTGTCTATATAGATGTAAAGATGGTTTAAATTAGAATCTAGAAATAAAACAGCTTTAAAACACACATACACACAGACAAACACAATTAGCCTGGCATGGTGGCACACTCCTTTAATCCCAGCACTTAGGGAGGCAAAGGCAGGTGGATCACTTAAGTTCCAGGCCAGTCTGGTCTACAAAGTGAGTCCAGGACAACCAAGGCTACACAGAGAAACCCTGTCTCTCAAAAAAGAAAAAAGAAAAGAAAGAAAAGAAGCCCACAATTATTTTGGCCTTAAAAGGACCGTAACTGAATTTAAAATTAGTTCTAAGCTTCTAGGATGCTAAGGAAAACTGAAACCATAGCCATGCTGAATAGATGTTATCTGAAGTTCACCCAAGGACACAGACCATTGTTTTGTTTTGTGTACCACTGAATTCTAAAGGTAGATTCTCATGACTTAATTATTAAGAAATAGTGAATGATGTAACAAAGCCTTCATGACAGCGTGTATGGCTGTTTCTATGTTCAATAAAAGCCACGGACATGAAAAGCCACTTAATGATGGTTATTTTTTAAGGGGACTTGTTTAAGAGCGCCAAGTAAATTGTTTTCTTGTGATATAAACAGATCCAAAGTGAGAGATTAGAAGATTTGAAAATTATTTCCCTTGGGTAGTCATTCTAAACACACCTCTCTTAGCTAGGGTTTTGCTAAGTGCTTTGATAGTCACTCTGTGATCTTTTAAAACATTGAGCGTGCCTTAGAATATTAGTGTTTTAAAGGAGGTGGCTATAATTTGCATATATGTCCAACTGTGCTGCAAAACCATACTTTCCTTAAGAATAACAAGGAAGCCTTATTCATTTGTGTTTCCTCATGACGCGGACAGTGTTTGAGTGCATCAGAAGTAGGCACAGAATAAATATTAGTCAAATGAATAAATGGCAGTTATTATTCTATCTCTGAAAGCTGATAGACAACATTGCTGAATGAAGATAGTTTCAGGTGATTCAGAAGCCAAACAAGTAGGTGGTATATCCTATTATGTGTTGCAGATGACGGCGGCCCAGAGAGAGGCCTTTGAGGAGGTGGATGGGCTGCTCTGACAGGACGGAAAGTCAGTCCTTATGAGGTCACCACACTCCAGGTCAACTTTGTTGTACACTTGACTAGGCATGTACATACGTGAACCTAACACACATAGTTGAGTATCTCCATGTGTGAGGCATTATGACATCAAGCTTTGTGGCTGCAGATACTTGGGTATGAAAAGAGGCTTGCTTCCTGCCCTCCAAGGGTTTCTAAACTGCTAGAGATGACAGATACTAATGAAACAGTCACAATAACAAATATCTAATTATAATCTGTGAAAAGTGATAGGAAGGAAAAGAACAGGAAGTGAGGAGAGCATACAGCTGGGGGTCTTAACCTGTCCTGGAGTCAAGGAAAACTGAAGAAGCAGAATTTGAGTTAAGAGCTGAAAATGAGTACCATGCAAGTATGGTAATAGCGGGTGTCATCCAAGAAGAGACAGCATTTTGGAAAACCTATGACAGAAGGAATTCAAGCCAAAAATGTGGCAGGAGCCAAAGAAATCTCAAGTGGCTGTGGTACAGAGCATGAATGAATTCAGAGAAATAAGAACTAGAAGTTTTTGGTTAGATTTACATTTGAAAAAATTGTTGCCTACACTATGGAGAACAGGTTGGGAGAGATGAGAAACACATGAAAGAGATGAAACATTTTTCTGAGAAGGATACTGAGGCCAGGAGTGGTGGCCTGTAATTGTAGCACTTGGGAGGTGGAGACAGAAAGATCAGAGCGATCCTCTGTTATGTGGCAAGTTGGGGGCCAGCCTGGACTAATTAAGACTTTGTTTCAAAAACCAAAACCAAGCCAGGAGTGCTGGCTGACGCCTTTAATCCCAGCACTCAGGGAGGCTGAGGCAGGCCATGTGAGTTCAACACCAGCCTGGTCTACAAATGGAGTCCAGGACAGCCAAGGCTACACAGAGAAACCCTGTTTTGGAAAAAAGAAGAGGCTCTCTCCTCTTTCAGGGGCTCTAGCTCCTTACTTCAGAGACTCTAATACTGTCTGTCTCTGGTAACAGTGAATCTCATTGTGGAGGTGACAGTGAACTCAGTGTGGAGGTCCCCAACTTGTATATTTATGAAAAGGCTTAGTATATTTAAATTATATATTTAAAAAATTGTGTATTTTTAAAAAGGCTTAGAGGGGGGTGGCATACACTTTTGAACCCAGTGTTCAGGAGGCAGAGGCAAGAGGATCTCTGAGTTCAAGGCCAGCCTGGTCTATAGAGTGAGTTCCACAACAGCCAAGGCTACACAGGGAAACCCTGTCTCAAAAAACAAAACAAAACAAAAAAACAAGAAAAGAAAAGAAAAAAAAAAAGGCTTGGGCCGGGCACAAAGGGCAGAGGCAGGTGGATCTCTGTGAGTTCGAGGCCAGCTTGGTCTACAAACTGAGTCCAGGATAGCCAAGGCTACACAGAGAAACTCTGTCTTGGAAAACCAAAAAAATAAAGAAAAAGTACATAAACAAACAAACAAATGAATGAAAAGAAAAAGGCTTGGAACACAGTGATAACCACATGTGATCTTAGCTACAGGACTGAGGCTGCTGGAGTACAAGTTCATGCCCTTCCTACACGAAAGAAGCAGCTCAAGACTGGCCTGAATAGCTTATCAAACCCTATCTAAACCAAAAGTGGCTGGGGACACAGCCCCAGTGCGTTTGCAGGGGATCTGGGTTTGATTCCGAGGACCCACATGGCAGCTCACAACTGTGTTACTCCAGTCTCTGGGGATCTGCTGCCCTCTTCTGGTCTTGGTGGGCACCAGGCATGTATGTGGAACACAGACACATATGCAGGAAAAATACTCATTCACATAAAAATAATGTTTTGTATTTTCTGAGACAGGGTTTCTCTGTGTAGCCCTGGTTGTTGTGAAACTCACTCTAGACCAGGCTGTTCTTGAACTCAGACATCCACCTGCCTCTGCCTCCTAAGTGCCGGGATTAAAGGCATGCACCACCACTGCTAAAATATTTCTTTTTTTCTCTTTCTTTTCCTTCCTTCCTTCCTTCCTTTTCTCTTTTTTTTTTTTTTTTTTTTGTTTTTTCAAGACAGGGTTTCTCTGTGTAGCCTTGGCTGTCCTGGACTTGCTTTGTAGACCAGGCTGGCCTTGAACTCACAAAGATTTACCTGCCTCTGCCTCCTGAGTGCTGGGACTACGAGCATGTGCCACCGCCTTTTTTTAAGTTAAATAAATAAATGTGTAAGCAAAGACTACATGGCAGTGCAAATGCGGGAGAGTCAGAGCAGCAACCCAGAGACTAAACTGACCACTGAGGTCAGAGTAAAGGCATAACTTAAGAACCTGTCATAGCCGTGCACTAAGCAAGCGACAGCTGCACACATTAAAGCATTTTACAAATACGTAAGATAGCTCAGTGAGTAACATTACTTGCTCTGCGAGCCTGATGACTTAAGTTTGATTCCTGGAATCCATGGAGGGAGGAAAGAATCGATTCTTAAAATTTGTCCCCGACTTCTGCGCATAACTCGGGTATGTGCACGTGTCAGTGTCCACACACGGGCATCATACACACAGGTGTACCATACACACAGGTGTACCATGCACACAGGTGTACCATGCACACAGGAACACAGGCCCAACAAACAGAAAATAACAATATAAAACAGAAACTTAACGGGAGAGTACTCGATAAAAATGCAATTCAAAAGAACTTATTAAATTAATTTATTTTTACATTTGTTTATATAAGCATGTCAGTGGGAATGTGTACATCATAGCAGATGTGTGAAAGTCAGAGGACAATCTGTGATAGTTAATTCTCTCCTTCTACGTGGTCCCGGGGATGGAATTCAGATCATCAGGCTAGGTGGCAGAATTGTCTCAGGGATCCAAACACAGCATTTCTTGGGAGGCAAAGGCTCCACCACCGAGCCACATACAGACTTCCATGTCACCCTTGAGAAGGGTAAGCAGAGTGTTAGTAAATGATACAAATAAATGGAAGAAAAGAGGCAAAAGAAGCCGGGTGCACGCCTGTGATCTCAGCCCTCGGGGAGGAGTGGCAGGCGGATCGCTGTGGTCTGCAAAGTGAGTTCCAGGATAGCCAAGGCTACACGGAGAAATCCTGTCTCAAAAAACAAACAAACAAACAAACAAACAAACAAACAAACAAACAAACAGTATATTGCTGAATGCTGGAGAAGCATGGAGCAAAGGCAAGATAAAGAATGACCTGTTAGTAGCTGAGGTGCCCCACCCCCATGCTTCCTCCCTATTGTCTACAATTAAACCCACTACCTCCCAGCACTCAGCATGGCACAGGAGCGCAGCTTTTCTCAGGCCACCAGAGGTCACCCTCTGTTACAGGGTACAGAATTGGACTAGGTGCCACAGTGCCATGGGCTTTCTTTCCGTGGCTCCTGGACTGTCCAGTGGCTTCTCCACACAGAGTGGCCACTGGTGGTGGCTGCTAGAACAGTTTCATTCATCACTGGGGAACTAGCTCTCTCCTCCGACAGATTGCTGAGTGACCTGGCTAAAACCCTCCTGAAGGGACCAAGCAAGTGTCCATTCAGGTGCCAGTTCTGTTATGAGTTACTTTGTAAGCCTGGGGTGGTCATAGCCTGTTTGAGCTGCACTTCTGAAATGAACCTGGGGCTGGAGAGGTGGCTCAGCAGTTCAGAGCACCGGCTGCTCTTCCAGAGGACCCGAGTTTGATCCCCAGCACAGACATGGCAGGGGGCAAAGGTCTGTAGCTCCAGTTCCAAGGGATCTGGTGCCCTCTTCTGGAATCAAGCACACATGAAGCACAGACAGACATGCAGATAAAACACACACACAAAATAATAGTAAAATTAGAAAAAAAAAAAAAAAAAACGAAAATGATGCTGTATTACTGGGTAAGTGTCAGAACTGACTGGGTGGTGTATGCTGATGGTTAGGATGGCTAATTTATCTGTTCTGGCATTTGAACCCAGGACCTGCATACACTGGACAAGCGCTCCATCACTGAACTGCATGGCCAAACCCTCTGCTTATCCTAGTTTATCAGGTCTCATCAGGAGTGTCTTCGTTGTCTTCCTCTGTGGCCTGGTAAGGCTTCAGTCCCCTCAGGGGGAGGTGACCAAAAAGCCAGCCACTGAGTTCATGTCAGAGACAGTCCCTGTTCCCATTACTAGGGGCCCATTTGGACACTGAGCTCCATGGGCTACATCTGTGCAGGGATTCTAGGTTATCTCCACGCATGGTCCTTGGTTGGAGTATCAGTCTCAGAAAAGATCCCTGTGAACAAATGGTGCTGGTCTAACTGGATAGCTACATGTAGAAAATGCAAATAGATCCATACTTATCACCTTGCACAAAACTGAAGTCCAAGTGGATCAAAGACCTCAAAATAAAACCAGACACACTAAACCTGTTAGAAGAAAAAGTAGGGAAGAGGCTTGAACTCATTGGCATAGGAGACAACTTCCTGAACAGAAAACCAACAGCACAGGCTCTAAGATAAACAATCAATAAGTGGGACCTCATGAAACTGAAAAGCTTCTATAAAGCAAAGGATACTGTCATCAGAACAAAACGACTGCCTACAGACTGGGAAAGGATCTTCACCAACCCTTTATCTGACGTAGGGCTAATATCCAGAATACATAAAGAACACAAGAAGTTAAACAGCAACAAATCAAGTAATCCAATTTAAAAAATGGGGCACAAAGCTAAACAGAGAATTCTCAATAAAGGAATATTGAATGGAAGAGAAACACCTAAAGAAATGCTCAACATCCTTAGTCATCAGAGAAATGCAAATCAAAATGACCCTGAGATTTCACCTTATACCCATCACAATGGCTAAGATAAAAAACTCAAGTGACAACACATGCTAGAGAGGATGTGGAGAAAGGAAAACTCTCTTCCATTGCTGGTGGGAATGTAAACTTGTACAACCACTTTGGAAATCAATCTGGCACTTTCTCAGACAATTAAGAATAGTGCTACCTCAAGATCCAGCTATACCACTCTTAGGCATATATGCAAAAGATGCTCAAATATATCCCAAGGACATTTGCTCAACCATGTTTATAACAGCTTTATTTGTAATAGCCAGAAGCTAGAAGCAACCCAGATGCCCCTCAGTTGAGGAATGGATACAGAAATTGTGGTACACTTACACAACGGAATACTACTCAGCAATTAAAAACAAGGAAATCATGAAATTTTCAGGCGAATGGTGGGAACTAGAAAAGATCATCCTGAGTGAGGTATCCCAGGAGCAGAAAGATACACATGGTATATATTCACTTATAAGTGGATATTAGACATATAATATAGGATAATCATACTAAAATCTGTATACCTAAGAAGCTAATCAAGAAGGAGGACCCTGGGTAAGATTATCAATCCACATTCAGAAAGGCAAATGGGATGGACATCAGAAGAGGGAGAAAACAGGCAACAGGACAGGAGCCTACCACAGAGGGCTTCCGAAAGACTACCCAGCAGTGTATCAAAACAGAGGCTGAGACTCATAGCCAAACTTTGGGCAGAGTGCAGGGAATCTTATGAAAGAAGGGGGAGATAGAAAGACCTGGAGGGGACAGAAACTCCACAAGGAGAGAAAAAAAAATCTATATAAAGTATATATTATGTATATGAGTGCATTGTCTTCACGCACCCCAGAAGAGGGCATCAGATCCCATTACAGATGGTTGTGAGCCACCTTGTGGTTGCTGGGAATTGAACCTGGGTCCTCTGGAAGAGCAGCCAGTGCTCTTAACCACTGAGCCATCTCTCCAGCCCTCCCTTTATTTCTTATTCTCCAGCTTTTATTCACTTTCTTTCTTTTTCACTGTGTAGCCCGTCGTAGCCTAGAACTCACTATATAGACCAGGCTGGCCTTGAATTCATAGAGATCCACCTGCCTCTCCTCTCAAGTGCTGGAATTGAAGGAGTGCACCAGCACATTCAGCATTACACACACACACACACACACACACACACACACACACACACACACACGAGCGAGCGTAATTTTAAAAAATTTAAAAGAAGGCTGAGACTATAGCCCACTGCTAGAGTGCTCGCCTTGCATGTAGGAAGTGTTAGCTCTAACCTTCAGTAAAGGTGATGACCCAATGACCAGGCAGCATTGCACCAAATTCACCAAAAATCCAAGAGCCTGCACAGGAAGTGAAGTCCTAGGAACCACATGGGCAAAAGCCACACTAAAAATATGCTTGCTGCCACTGGGTGAAGTTTGTGATAGCGTTAATTGAGCTGGACTTTGGGGAGTTCATTTCTGCACCTGGGAATGTTTCTGGATCCCATCTCTAAGATGACCTGGGGTCTGAGGATGCTTGTCCGTTGCTGTAACGGTTGCCAAACATGCAGGAAACCTTGCGTTCTGTCCCTAAGCACTAAACTGGGTGTGGTAGTACATGCCTGCAATCTCTGGACTGGAGAGGTTGTGGGAGGGGCATTTGAAGTTCACTGTCACCCTCAGGTACACTGGGGGGGGGGGGGGGGTTGATCCACCTGAGCTACAAGAGACTCTGTCAAAAGAAAGTAAAAACAAACAAACAAACAAACAAACAAAAAACAAAACACACACACACACACACAAAACCACAACCAACCAACCAACCAACCAAACAAACAAACAAAAACCCAAAACCTACCTGAAAGAAATTCCTATTTGGAGACCTGAACCAAACTGGGCCTGATTTGTTAGAAGCAGTGTGTGGCGGTGGCGGTCTGAGTGAGAAAGGCCCCCGTTGGCTCATATGCTTGAATACTCGGTTCTGCGTAGGTGGAACTGTTTGGAAAGGATTCTGTCAGTCGACTTGGTCGTGGTATCTTAGCACAACAATAGAAAAGTAACTAAGACAAGCCTGGTGGTGGAGGCGGCAGCAGCAGCAGCAGCGCACACGCCTTTGATCCCAGCACTTGGGAGGCAGACGCAGGTGAATCTCTGACTTTGAGGCCAGCCTGGTCTACAAAGCAAGTTCCAGCACGGCCAGGGCTACACAGAGAAACCCTATCTCAAAAAACCAAAAGAAAGAAAAGAAAGGTAACTAAGATAGTTAGTAAGTAGTTATAGTAAGTAGTTATACAGGTTATAAAATCCCCACACTCAGTCACTCAGTTGTAATTTTTTTTGTGTACACACTTGTATAAAGGACAGAAGTTTTCAACTTCAGGTTTTTTTTAAACTAGGTACCATTCACCGTTATGCTAGGCATGGTGGCACACGCCTGTAATCCCAGCATTTGGGAAGGCAGAGGCAGGCAGAGCTCCGAGAGCTCCGAGAGTTCCAGGCCAGCCTGGTCTACAAAGAAAGTTCAAGACAACCAAGGCTACACAGAGAAACCATGTCTTAAAAAAAGAAAAAAGAAAGAAGAAAAAAAGAAACAAAACAACCAACCACCCAAACAAACCAAAAACCCAAAAAACAAAACAAAAAAAAATATCCACCTTTTTTTCTCTTGAATTAACTTTTCCATTATTTATTTATTTACTTTATTTATTCACTACCATTTATTTATTTTGGAGACAGGGTTTTTCTCAGTAGTCCTGGCTCTTCTAAAACTCACTCACTCTGTAGACCAGGCTGGCCTCGAACTCTGTTTCTGCCTCTTGAGTGCTGGGATTAAAGGCAGGAGACTTGAACAGGGCATCAGGGTCCCTGGGACCCTGGTTGTGACCTGCAGTGTGGGTGCTGGGAACCAAATTCTGTTCCTCTGGAAGAGCAGCAAGGACTCTT